GAAAATGAAAATGAAAATGAAATAAAAGATATATACAAGAAAACTACAGCTCTACATTTTAATTAGTTAACTTGCAGCATCACAGTCCTATTTAAGCTTGTTTAATAAGCTCACTTGGCTTGTTTATATATAAACTAACACAACTTACATTTTGGAAACATTTCTATACTACTGATCACTAATTATAGATCCAGGATTTTGTACCATGCCTAATATCAATGGCCCTATTACCCAACATTTTTTATAGTATGAGGGATAACGTTTCAGTGCTATTTTCTGTAAGCTTTTTTACATTAACTCTTAGACTATGAATGAATGGCAATTCATTAAAAAAGGGCCTGATATTGCTCTTGTATACATCCTGCAGATCGGTGCAGAAGGAAAAACTTGCAAACACATAGACACAAAGTCAGATATTTGCCAACCCCACAACCTTGTCAAACTTACCCTTTGCTCATTAGCATGTAAAAATCCTACTAAGAACTTACTGTACTGTATGCAGTGGCTGATCTCACCTCTAGAGATCTTAAAAAAAAAATACCACCAGATTGCCAGGGATGAGGGAGGGAGGGACTGAGTGAAAGCAACCCACGGTGTAAAAACATGCTTTCCACACACCGAACGGGATTGCTTCCACTGGAGGGCAAATCTTACTCTTCCGTTTCTTCTTCTAGTTCTAGGCAAAACCTAAAAGCCCATGAAACTTAAGAACAACCTTTGTACGCGATCGCCTAAAAGCACCCAACGCCAGAAGACCCTCCTGGAAGGGTAGTAGTACCGTGCACCATTCACCTTGATGAGGAACGGCGGGCGGATTTTCCACAAGGCCACACCGAGATTCCCGAAATCTTATCGCGGATCCCCACCCCACCCCTGCCACCCCCCAGCTCTGCCAAGCCCGGTCACGCACCGGCTGCCAAGGGCGATCTCAGGCTCTCCTCCCACTTTCTCCTCCCCTCGGCTCTGCGCCGTACCTCGCGTCCCACCCATCCTGCCCTTGTCCTCTCCGCTCGGGTACCTTCGGTGTGGCAGCTGGAAGAGAGGATGGTGTTCGGCGGTCGGAAGAGGTAAGGCAGGTAACGAGAAAAGCATTTCATCTTCCAGCGGCAAAGACGCATTTATGTAAAAGTAAGGGGTAAACAATCCTCCCGCTCCATGGGGCTGGGCAGACAAGGCTACATGATGGATGCATTACGGAATCCCACCAATTGCTGAGCGAGCTAAGTCGCCACCTCTGTTGCCGGACCCCATTTTTGCCATCAGCCCCAGCGAGGACCGCCTCGGATTTCTGCAGGCGTCCAGCGCCAACTCTGAAGCCCCCTAGCAAGCAGGGCGAGGTTCCTCATTGGCTAAAGCGCCTCCGAGCAGGATTTGCTGACTAAGTCCCTCCCGCTGGTAAATACACAAGAAGCAACGAGGGGACTTGCGTGCGATAATCCTGGAAAGCTCGCTCTCGGTGGGGAAGATCGGCTTCACTGCGCGGGCGTGCAAGATCCTTAGAAATTGCCACGGCAAGTTTCAGGGCGCTGATTTTGGAACGAAGCGCGGACGACTCCGCCAGGCCGACTTCTAAGGACTGTCAACATCAAGGTTAGCATTGCATGTAAAGGGCAGACTTCCCGCAATGTCAGCTGGACTGGGCGCAACCTCAACTCAGAAACCGAAAAAGAGGAAAACTCTACAATTCAGGAAGGTCGCGCGTTAAAAGAAAATCGAGGACGATTTGTATTCTTATTACAGGATGCCTTTACTTTGAGGTGTCTTTTTGTTTCCGTGGTGGAGAAATTTAATAGAAGCAAAAGACCAATGCCTGTTGTACTAAAACATGCCAATATTCATCTGTGCAAGGCTACTTTTTTTTTTTTTAAGTGGTTAGTTCAATTGAATTTATTCCTTACAACATGTGTATGGGGGACGGGGGTTATTTAGCACAATCTTTTCAATGTTGCCTTGGTGTTTTTTTTCCCCCCTTTCCTTTTGGCAGCAAAGCGCAACGTATTTCAGAAGCATCTTTACTGTGGAATGCCTTTATTTCTTTCATCTTCATTCCAGGCTCATTAGTGAAACAGAGTTAAAAACATCAATGAATGTTTTTTTTAGCTGATTAGCATCCAAGGATAGTCATAAATACTCTATACACATTGTCCCAAAGGTGTTTTTTCAAGAGGCAATTGGACTTCCTGTTTTTTTCTTTGAAGATGGTTCGCTTCTCACCCAAGAAGCTTCTTCAACTCAGAAGCTTTTTGGATGAAAAGTGAAACATCTTCAAAAAAAAGTCCAGTTGCCTCTTGAAAAAGCACCTTTCAGATAACCAGGATCTGGATGACTGAAAACCTTCATAGACATCTATAGACGTTGCTACCCATTTCATGAGCTGACCCTGTAATGGCTGGGATTGGAGAGCTAAGTCACCCTGGTCAGTTGCTATCTCTCTAAAAACCTGGTAATGGTGGCTCTGTGCCAGTGGACTGTCAGAATTACCATAGCAGCAATGCTAGAGATTTGGAATAGGTATCAGCAGTGGGAGCAGTAAATTTCGGGCTGTATGTTTTCTTGATTTAAGGATGGGTTGATAGCACTTCTCAGTAGAGAGGAAAGCACCCGAGAAATAAATTACTAAGTATTATACTCTGGGAAAATGCCATAGAATTATAGGAGAATAGTGCAATCATTTATTCATGTTTATTTTATTCAATTTCTATGGCAGCCTACCTCACTATGATGATTCTGGGTGACTAATAGCAGTTTAAAAAACTCAACAGCAAAGTCAAATGCATAAGTGGCATCCAAAGCAAAAACAAACAAACAAACAAACCAAGTAGTAATTAAAATAACCATCTCATAGACTTTGACAATCTGTTCCCCTTCTTCAAGGCATAAATGAAAGTCCAACAGAGTTATGGCCATCTAGTTTATGGGAGAATGATGTTCCAAAGGGCAGGTGACACAACAAAAAATGCCCACTTCTGGATTTTGCTAGATGATACTCATTGATTGATGGGAGTCTTAAGGTGCCTCTTAGTGAGGATGGATAGAAACGATGAATAGCAAAAGCAATAGCAGTTAGACTTATATACCGCTTCATAGGGCTTTCAGCCCTCTCTAAGCGATTTACAGAGTCNCTTCTTGGCAGGTGAATAAAGAAAACTTTTCAATTGGTTGCCATGTAAAGCCCTTACCCAGCAACTGAGACTTCAGTATGAAAAACAATTTGACTTTTTTTTTAAAGTGCTGCCTAGGTTTCCTTTTTTCCCAGACAACTTAAGGAAGCATGAATACTGTTGTACCCACCCTTAGGGAAAAATCTGAAATAGGGTCTTTTGAGTAAAAGACCTGCCAGCTGAAATGCCACAGCATCATTTCCATTCTTCCGGAGCTCTATAAATTAAAGACAGCTTACTTCTTTATATCTCATCCAGACTCCCTAAATTTTGCTGCAGAAGTCACTTTAACTCTTACTACACATGTGTTTTTTTGTTTGTCTTTTTATTTCTCCTGCAATCTGATAAAGTCCTCAGCAATATTTTTAAAAAGCATGACCTAAGCAATTCTTAACACATTTATTATCATGTGAGGGTACATTTTTTTTCTTTTTAAACCAGAATGTTCCAGAAGTTCAATGAATAAATATTGTTTCAAATAGAATTCAGCTGCATGAATGTGTCAGAAAAATTCTGGGGAAGAATAATTTTGATGTTTAAAAGCTTCTCTAAGCTGCTCAACATTTTATGCTAATCAAGTCCAAAGTTGACAGTTGAAAATGTTACTTTAAATTAAAAGTAAACTGTTTCCTTTACATTGAGTAATTAATGAGTTGATTCTCATTATTTCTACCAAGCGTTCTGATCCTGAATAAGAGGTGGGATATAAAACAAACAAACAAACATGGGTTTATTATACGCATAGCCTTGCAGGGATAATTTGCTTTATTTTCTTCTCATAAAACCCTCTTAAAACTGTCACTAGGTTTACACGTACTAAGTAAGTGTTTACTGGATAAACTGCACTTGTTAAATTCACACCTTCAATTAAGTTGCAAACAAGTAGCATTATGCATGAAAAAGCATTACAAATGATCATGAAAACCCTACCCATTTTTGCATGCAGTTAATGAATATTAAGAAGGAATGGAGTTTCAATTACATTTGCATCCATCTTGACTTAGAATCTTTTCTCCACAAAGTCCCTGAGCATTATGACTAACAATATCTAAAAGTCACAAAGCCAGTTTCTTGCTATCTTCTTCTTGACTGAATTATTATCCAAAATCTGTTGGCTATAAAATGACACCAGGAATATTTCTCTGTTATATAAATAGTAGAGCTTTGTTCTGTTTTTGAACTTAAATACGTTTTTCCTTTTTTCTGGTTCTTCGCTTACTCTTAAAAACCTAAAAAAAGCAACATGCACTTATTAAGAGCATTAGAACTTTATAGAACTTTGACTATTTGAGAACATTTACAGCTAAGTAATTGAATACTACAGAGCTCTGAATGGGGTCACATACATTTGCAACACATTCTATAGCTACAGTGCTATTCTAGCTCTTTCCAGGTGTGCCACATTGAAATAATAAAAAGGCTATATTATGAGATCTAGTTATTGGCAGTTACTACAAGTGGAAGACAATGGAAAGCAAATTTATGAAGATCCATCTATTCATTTGAGCAGCTGTTTGGCATTAGTTTGTCCAAGCATTATTTTACTGTTGAATATTCATATAACTTGGATTTTGCCCATACAGATATTTGCTAAAAGACCACTGCATATGAATATATCAGTACCGATAAGATTTTCCTGCATTAATGCAAGTGAAATATGTTTTTATGTCTATCAATGCCCCATTTTTTCAGAAGTATTTTCTCAGTAACTCATACATTCAAAATATTACAGAAGCAGCAAGCAATAGATGAATATCATATGGAATTCTAACTTGGATTTAACTTCCATGGATGTGCTAAGGTGTTATTGCCACCCAAGCTAGGAATAGGCGCAACAGTACACAAGATGGATTTGAGCAAAGAGTCCCTGCTATTAGGTGCTCTTCTTAATATAGCTGAATCTGTTCCTATGTATCTTAATTCAAAAGGAAATCCCATTCTATTCAATGGAGATTAATTTAGTCCCAGAACTCCAATTATTCTCATGAGTCATTTTGTATATTTTCATTTGTGCCTTTTTGTGTGTGCAAAAGAGATCATTTCTGCATTCAAAAAGAATTCAAAAGCTATTTTAAGCCACAATTATGACAATTTTAAAACTCATAAACTTGCAAAAAAATGTATTACCAAATTAAGCGTATATCTGACTTTGTCACTAAAACACAAACACTAAAACACAAAACCAACCCACAACCTGTGACATTTTGAGGACTACCCATTAATAATTTCAACTAAATCTGAGAATACCTCTTATATATTTGTTTCAATTTAGACAATTCAACAACGTGGACTTAGGGACTCTTCCACTACAATGAATATTGCAATTGAAAAATCTACCATCTATTTGAGGGGCTGCCACAGAGAGGAGGGGATCAAGCTATTTTCCAAAGCACCTGAAGGCAAGACAAGGAATAATGTTTGGAAACTGAACAAGGAGAGATTCAACCTAGAAATGAGAAATTATCTGATAGTGGGAGTTTCATCACTGGAAGCTTTCAAGAAGAGACTGGACTGCCATCTGTCTGAAATGATGTAGGGTCTTCTGCTTGGGTGGGGGGGTTGGACTAGATGACCTACAAGGTATCTTCCAACTCTGTTAATCTGTTAATCTATTTATTTGTTAGATTTATAGCCTACCTTTCCTACAGGAGGTCAAGCCTGTATAACTACACTTTCCAATTTTCCTCCACAAGTCTTCACCATGGGGTGGAATGTTGATCTTTCTAGCAGAAAATTATTACCTTGAAATTACCCACTGAGTTTCTATGCATATGGGTAAATTTGAATCTGGATTTTCTAAATGCAAGGCCTTATTACAGCACTACTTGGCTGTCTGTATTCTTGCATAATTTAATGTATTGTGCCAGTGAGAAATATAAAATAATAAAATATAGAAACAATACTTTTTTCCAAAATTTGGCAATCAATGGTGGAATTCTATGACTTCACAACTATAATGCAAAAATCAGTAAGTTACGCAATAAGACATCATTATTTTTTTCAGGTCTACCCAAATGTGTGACTTCCCCTAAGATGCTGAGATTCACTGCTTCCATACATGTGCAACATGTGCAGTGATTATCTCTCACTCTCACTCTACTCCTCCCTTCGGTGTATTTCTATTATCTATCNATCCAGATAACACACTAGAAGATAGCAAAGACAAGTTTTCAGATTTTTGCAGCCAAGATCTAATACCATGATTCAGATGTTTAAGGAAGAGGAGACAAACTCAGCTTCAATTCTTGTCACCAATAGAAGATAGAGTAAGTGATAAATTAAACTATTATCTCATGATGTAATTATTATTATTTTTTACCCTTCATTGGTGAAAGCCAGTTTGGTTTAGTGGTTAAGGCAACAAGCTAGAAACTAGGAAACTTTA